TGTTTTTCGAAAGGTCGACATCAGAAAGAAATCCACAATTACCCCTATATAACAGAGTGGCTTCCCATAATGGAGCAGACTGAACCACATCCTTTGTTTCATAATGCCTTTTTCTATTGCTAGTATGCCTTTTGTGAGCCCATTATTCAGGCCTAACTCATTTGTTCCTCACACATAACTTTATTGTGTGCAAATAGTTCACTGCTTTGGCAAGAAAGTACTGACTTACATTTTCTGGCATATTTTTTCTTCGGTATACTGCTCATGAAAGTCTTTGTAGCCAAGAAGGAAAGATCATGCYAGTCAATCTAAGAAGTCACTTCTTTACAATTGTCTTCTGCTACTCCTAGTTGGGTCTTCGTACCCACTGTTCAAGAATACTGCATTAAGGACACATCCACATTTTGGTCTGTGTGCGCAGGATTACTGCAAAGGCACTTTAGCTCCAGCAGCTGCCAAACGCGTATTGAATTCATGGGCAGTTCACCCATGTGGCATAAGAAATTGCAGCATAACACCTTCACCTCACCTTAGCTCAGAATCAACACTTGTTCTGCAATACAGCAGGGAACTGTATTGCTTGCCCTGACTCAACCATTTTCCATTTTTTTTTTTTTATCAATTTAATCCTTTACAGTATTTTTACTTTATCTTCACTAAAAGTTCTTCCTTCTTTTTCCTTTTTCTGGTCATCCTTTTGGTCTTGTGTCTCCCGTGAAGACCACACCACTTTTTTTCTGATTTTTCTGCTCACTATCTTTTCAGAAAAAACACCACCTAGCAACATGTTCAATCAGCCAAAGCTTCCAGCCTAGATCTAAAATGTCATTAGCTCTGTGATTTCCATTCCAGAAAAAACAAGCAGATTGCTAGCTTCCATACTGCTCCATTAGATGTGCTATTAAAGTGGGCTATAACCAACCACTGTTCTATTCCATATGCCCTGCTACAGCTTCATGATGTTACCATTCCTGTTCTTGAGAATCAGAATATAACAACTAGGTCAAGCCCCCTTCAGCAACTCAAAGCTTTTTTATCAAGCATATCATATGTGGAGAAGTCAGCTATCCCCATTCCTAATTCTTCAAATGATCACAGGATTTTCCTGAAGTTCTGAAGACCAGATGAAGCTCCACAGATCCCGGCTGAATTTTGCATGATCTTGTCCAAAGTCTCAGATTTTATGCCCTTTTACTGGGCATAGCAATGCTAAAGAATAAGGACAGTCATGTTGCCATATGCATCATTCATTCCCTGGTAAAGAGATGCCATCAAGCATCAAATTGTACATATAAATTTGCCCTAGTGGCTGCTTGTGCCTAAGCGAACTTTACCCGTATGTCAYACAAATTGCAAACACCTACTTGCTCTCGAAAAAAAAGCAATACTCCTCCCAATCTCCCTCAAGAGGAAGAAACKAATTACCAAGCCTATTTTTTGTTGCTGCTGAGCAGCTTATGTTTGGTAAGTTATAAGGCTGTGAAGTGATGCAGCTGTCACTAGATCATTATCAACAATTACATCAGCCATTTTTTCCTTGCTGCTGTCTCCTCCCTACCTCTTCAGAGGACTTCACCATGACTTTATGACCTACAAGACTACAGCTTTAACACAACAGCCTGCTACTGTTCTGACTACTCAGGCCAAAGGACTAGTCCTTCTCACTTTCAGGGGAAAAAATAAAGTTACTTTTCTTCATGTTAAGGAATGTCAGATGTTGGAGATCCTGAGTTCAAGCTCAGGAGAAGTGTTAGAAGCTGAGATAACATCATCACATTGGCAAAAGGCTCGGCTGTTTCACTGAACATCCCAGGCAAAAAGTTCTATATAGTGATTCAGCCACCTCACAAAAAATATCTTTGACTTGCCATGGATCAGAACATTGCAATTAAAGGGTCTTGTTGTTTAGCTTCTCCTTTACTCTGAACATCTTTCCCAATGTCCCTGTTCTGAAAGTGACACATCTCACAAAAAAGCCCACTCATACTCAGAGTGAGGAATCTTCTCATACCCATCTATAAGATGCTCCATGCCCTTATACAAGATAATAATACATTGCAGAAGATTTCTTTTCTCTCTCTGGTATAACTGTTTTAAGAGTCAGTAGATTTTGCACAGACTGTAAATTTTGTCAGAACTTGCTATAAAGCTGCTGAAAATATCCATAAAGAATGGTACAAGTTTCTTTCTCAGCAATCTCTAACAGCTTCTCTGAAAATAACTCTGCTCCCACCGTTGAACAGCTATCAACCGTTGTCAACAGCTACATGTTTTTCAAGTGCCCATCTCTACACTCCCAGGCTACCTCCTTCTTCTTGGGACTGAGAAAGCAGAGGATGTGAAGGCATGCTTCACCTACTTTTATCCTATCTGTGGATCATAGGAGCTTGAAAGTGTGTCAGTGCTCCCTGATCTGAGCACTGGAATACAAATCACAATGTGACTAGGCAGATGGGTAATTGATCTCAAAGACCTTCCAATACCTGACAATWAACTTCCTTTTATTCTTGCCTCATATATTTAGGGAATATGTGATTAAACATTTAAGTAAATATATAAAACAAACACTTCATATAATACTTCATTCAATGTGCAAATTAAAATGCTAGCTGGCTGGAACATTTTTAAAACATGGTCAGAGTTTTTAATTTCTCTCAGAATTTAAAAGTTTAAATTACTGGTACTTATATTACCTAAACACCAGTACTGTACTACTTATGCAGTACAGCTTAAAGCCATATAGCATGTCTGTGGGGAAGACTACGAAGCAGTAAATCAGACTAAAGAGTCTTTCCAGGAAATCATCCATGTGCAGAAAAGACACTTCACAACATGCTTGAAGGGATTTCTTTACCAATGTTCCCAAATCTGATTCTATACAACCAGATTTTTGACAACTAAATTGTTAATGAATAAATTCTATTTTGTGCTAATACAGAAAAATTAAGTATAGTTGCAAACAAATCATTTTTTCTATGCAACTTCAGATGTGTAAATAGTTTTACATTGAGTCCATAAATACCCCATGAAATACATGATCTCTTGCTTATTTGAAGAGTTACAATGCATGCCATATGTAAGTGAAGCCTGCCACGGGACTGGTTTGGAAGGGAGGCAGGGGGTTGTTCTACAAGTTCTGGCAATATACCAAGAATCGCTGCAGGCTATAGGTTTTCTGAATAAGAATGTCATAAGAGGCTTTCTGTTGGCTGGGGGAGGGAGGAGAGTGGAGAGCCTGCTTCTGGAATTTGAGTGATCATATGAGAGACAGAAGACATGCTAAAACTAGAGAAAAAAAATTTTTTGGTCCTTCTAGTTAGAGCCTGGTTCCACCTGAAGTTTTTTGCCAAAGACCACTTTTATGAGAGTGCTGAAGCAGGCATTTCCATACAGACTCAAATCTACCAATTAGGCAATCAAACTGGAACTGTACAATCTCAAAATGTAACCTGGAATCAATGTACATACCAACCATAATCTGATCAGAAAGCAAAAGTGACAAACTATAATGCTTCCATCATACTGTGAAATTTATTCCCCAGACGTCGTTTGCCCTGATACTTTAAGAAGGGTTTGAACCCCAAAAGTCCTGTGGGAGAAAATGGAAAGGACTGAGTCTATTGAGTGTAGTGACCATCAATAGAAGAAAACAACAGTATCTATACTATCTAAGGTTACTAGACAGCATCAGCTGTGAGCAGGAACACAAAGTAATACATTTAATCTGCAGGCTAGATAAATACCTGTCAGAAATCATGAAAGAACAAACCATTTTGTTACTAGGAAAGCRGAGGAACTAAAGTGCCTGTAAAGTGTCCATCCAGCTTTGCTCCTTTGCACAGAAAATACACAATATTCTCAGAGTCAGCAACGTTTTAGTTGTATATCAAGCCATCTGAGACAGTAAACGAAACATAATCAGAAACTGGTACTAAATATGTGAGAAGTAGATTACCTTCCACTGCCTTTTTCCAAAGTTCTAAATCTTGTCTTAGTAGCTCATGCTAGTGCCTGCGACTAGCAGGGTATTGAGCTAGATGCCTTTTCTATCTATCCAATCTGCCCACTCCTCTAAAGATTTAAATAAAAGTGTAAAATACCTCATATCCTACATGAACCCGAAGATAGTTTAAGAAGGGGTAAAAGCCTAAAGCACACAGCTTTAGAAATTCAGGCAGGCATCAGTGATGTCTGGTATATTCCTCACTACAAACAGCCTCCTTTGATTCCCTCAACACTAAGTTTGTGGCATGGCACTGAAATGCGTTCTTACTCATGACCTGGAAAAAAAATTGATCTGGAATGAAGAAAGCATCTTAGAGCACATGGCCCCTGTGTGATTTACACAAGTAATTTTTCAGTTATTGAATGAAGAAATATTCAAGCATAATCAGAATCATAATCCAATCAACGACCTATATTTAGGGTCCTTCCTTAGCAACCTAGTTTTCCACAAACACCTTTTTCAGGGACTGGAATCCTGACTGATTTTCAGGGACTGAAACATCGAGACTGCTCTGGATTACAGCGCTTTGCTCGCACCGCAGCTGTTGACAAGAGCATTCTCCAGCCGCCCGCGCTCCCAAGGGAGTCTTGCGAAACGCCGGGAAGGCCGCTGGCTCCTCAGGCCTKCTCAGGACAACACCCCCGCCGCACCGCCCGCGCAGGCCCGGCCGGACAAGGGCCGGGAAAAGCTTCCAGAGGCCTGAACGGCGGCGGCCGGGCAGCGTCCAGATCTCTTTACCCGGGCGCCCCGCGGCTGCAACCCAAAGCTGAAACACACCTTGATGACAGAACGCGGCGGGGCGGACGGGCAAGGCCGCCGGACGCGACTGAGCGATGCAGGGGAGGGACACCGCCTCCCCCTCCCCTCCCTCGGGGCCCCCCACACGCGGCCCCCGCGCCCCCGGGATCCTGGCACCGGCCGCCGCGTTACGGGAAGCCCCGCCTCCTCCCCCGTCCCCGCCCCCTTTCGGTGATGTCACTGGTCTCGCGAGCCAATGGCGGCGCGGGTGGCGGAGGAGGGAAGGGCACGGGGGGGCGGGGCGGGGCGCGAGCGTGACCGGGCGCGGGGCCGCGCGTGCGGGACGGCGGCGCGATGGCGCGAGGCGGCCGAGACACTATTTAGGGGCAGCGGCCGCGGGGCGCGGGCGACGCCGCCGGGTAAGGGCCGGGGGTCGCGGTCGTGTGCGGGTCTCCCCTTCTCCTCCACCTCCCCAGCGTCCTCTCCCCGAGGGGCGTCCGCCGGCGGGGGCTGTGCTGGCTGTCCTTTCTTTCTGGGCCGTGCGCCGCGGGCGGGGGCACGGGGGCGTTCGTCCAGGGCTGACCGGGAAACGGGCCGGGGCGGGCGGGCCGACTGCAGCCTTGCGCCACTCGCTTCCCGGGCCGCTCGCCAGCCGTGCCCCGCGGCGGTGTCTCATCTCGTCCAGCCTCCCCTCGCCGGCGCCGGCGGAGCTGCCCGGCGGTGACGCTCAGAGCGCAACATGGCCTCACYCGCCACCGCCCGGGGCCACCCGCTGCGGGGCCTGGGGGTGCCGAGCCCCTCGCGGCGCCTCCGCCGTGCTCCATCCGCAGCCCTTCCGCCGGCGTGCGCGGAGTGTCAGGCTGGAGGTTATCTTCCCCAGAGCGSTGCTGGTTAATGCCGGCCTCTCGGTTGGCAGAGGTGTAGCGATCCTCGCGGGACTCGCGTCTTTAGGGCTTTTTCGACTGTGAGATAAGCGTGGCTGTGCCACCGGCAGGCATTTCCTTGATGCAGAGATTTGTGGTTTGGTCTTGTTGCCTATAGACTAAAAGTAGAAGACTGCTGCCTGAATGATACGCGCATTTTGTCTTACTGCTGGTCCAAGTACAGAGTGGGATTCGCTGAAGAATTAGGGTGGAGGGGGTACAGTGGCCGGCTGGTAACTTCCATTGTGCTCCTGAGCTGCAGTCATCCCTGTAGTTGGGCTCTGATACTTTCCTTAAAAAAACCCGATATGGTTATTTTCATCTCTCATATGATGAATCAGAGGCACAAAGGAAAGCAAACTGCCAAGTGTGTTGGCAGRGTTGAGGGGAATAATTCCCAGTCTCAGTTTTCATCCTTGTTTCAGGGTGATTAGGGGTCTGTCAGCTGGTGGCTGCTTGTTACTACTGAGGCATTCTGAAGGACAAACCTGGTAGTAGAACTATGCGGGATTATGGTTCTGTCATTAGTGATCTGTCCAGTCATAGGGGCGGGGGGGGAGGGGGGGGGGGAGTGGAGTCTACAGTCTAAAAATGTTAGATGCTATTGGAAGTTAGGTATTTTTTTCTTCCACCTTCTTTTCGGTACAAAATATAAAGTTTATACTTCCCATATACTGTTGCTTCCAGAGGAACAACTATCTAAAAAATACTGTTGAAAGCACGTACTTTCTGAATTTAACTTATTTTTATCTGTGTGTTGGTTTAGCACAGTAAGAATGTAACTGTGGATGATGAAAATTTGAGATTATTTCCTAGAAGTTGAGCATTCACAGTAATTCTGTGGATCTTGTTTATATGTATAGATACGTGATGCTTCGAGTAAAGTCAATAGATAAATTCTTTTGGCTGAGCGGGAAATTCACGTACATGTCTGTGAGTACGTAAAATGGAGATACATTGTTTCCCATGCTGCTTGTCTGGAGGATTAACACTAGCACAATTTTATGAAATTGAACAAACTTCTTGGCCATTTTTTTCGTAAATTATTCTTGTATTAGCAAGAACTGCCTAGATTAGAGGAGCAGCACTCCTGGTGATTAGTCTGAAGGTTTAACTTCATCATGGGCACATGGAGTGCCAAGACATTACTTCGTATAAATTAGTTTGATTTCTGGGCTAAAGCTACTTGGTAGCAATGAGAAAATTCTGAAGTATTTCAGAGAAAGTGTTYTACAGTTTTAACAAGGTTATCAGAAAGAACTCAATTGTTGCAAGCAAATACTTGGTGCCTTTAATTAGATATTTCAATAATTTTAATCTCTGTACCTTTTTGGGATTTTTTTCTAAATATTTTTTTTATTCTGAGTGCTCTACTAAAACTCCAAAGCTAAGTCTCCTCCYAGAGGCAAAGGAATAAGCAATGTAGAGAAATTACTTGCCTAGATGGTGAAAGGGAGAGAGATGTCATTTATATGTAGAGATTTTAAATACGAAAATGTATTTCAGGATATTCTATTCATACGTTATGTAATATTTTTCAAGTGCTTCTCTTAGAGATGTTTGCTGTTTTTCGAGTCTCATAAATATTTCCAAGAAGGAAGTAAGCTTGGAGGAAGGAAGGAAGCTTGCAGATGAAATACGCTTAATTGGAAAGCAGTTACTGTTTGAGAAATCAAAATTCCTTGAGGATAGTTAGAGCTTTTAGATGGCTCTGAGTACAGTCTGGCTTATTACAAAACCTCAAGCAGCAGCTGCTTTGTGAAGCATCACTGGCTCTGTCTGTCTGAGCTGTGGGGATTGTCAGTGAAAGATTATCTGTTGAAGCTGTAAACATAGCTTTTTTTTTTTTTTTTTTTTTNATCTGGTACTCCATCAACCTTTTCTTCTATTTTGTTTCCTTTGAATCCAAATGCAAACTCAACATGACTACGGTGATTAAACTTTTGAACTTTATTTTCATTGCTGACAGGAAATGGARAGCAGCCTGTTGAATTGATCTATTMCTAAACTAAAGGGACAAAGTACAATAAATCCTCGTTCCTGTGTAGCGAATTACTTGGATTAATGATCAACACAAAAGATGTTGATAGAATTAAAGACAGAATGAGCCACACCTGCATTTGTGATTTGGAGAGGCCTGACAGTCACAAACAGACATGTGAAAGAATAAATAAAAAACTTGGAAGATAATTTTGAATAAAAGTTTCTGGAAGTTTGGAAAGCTGGTTTAGAGGGTTGAAAGGAAATGCAGAAGAACACATTTTGGGGACAGCATTTCTCAAAGAATAAATCATCCTGCATTCCAACAGATGTTGAAGGTGACAGCACGGCTAACAGACTGTAGGTTGCAAATCTTAATTGATTTTTGCTGGTGTTCCCCTTGCCTGAGTTCATTCCTTTTGTTTTCTGGAATAGAGATGATGTGGCAGCAGAGGATAAAGCTTTTCTGGAGATAATACTGATGGAAGTGAGTGGCATGGAACAGCACAGCAAAATCAAAGCTAGGAAAAAAATCAAGAAGCTTCTGGAGGATGCTCAGCATGCCAAAAAAATTTTTGTTTTATTATATTTCAATTTTTTGTAAATTTTGGGCCATCGTTGTGGATTCATCAATGCCAGTGGAAACAGAAGCATGATCCCCAGGGAAATTTAGCTACACGTTCAGTAGGATCTCAGGAGCATTGTTCAATTCTGAACCCACAGATGTATTAAAAAGTTAAGCCGTGTTGCTGGAGATTATTTACCTTGTACATTAAAGTATTAAGGTTATACATTTCATTTTATCAGCATATTATCAGCCCCRTGTTATCACCACATTATTCAGTCTCCCAGTTTGACTGGATCCTTCGGGGAATCTTATTCTGCGAGGTTTCCTTTAGTCTGAGGGGTTTTCTGTTATCAGCAGCATTCACCAAGCCATGCACCAAATCAATAATAAATATACTGCAGAATGTCAGGCCCGACGTTGTTACCCAGGGCAGCCACTACCAACTGCTTTCCACTCTCAGAAAATTTATCTGCAGTTTCCAGGAAAGTGTGCCTTTTCCAGCAGCTCGCCTGMCTGCTCTGTCATATCGAGATAACTCAATGCAAGACACATAATTACATCATGTAACTTTATATCATTTGACATGGCTGAGGCAACCTAACATAAAATATCGCAGTATAAAGCATGAGCTGGAAACTGTAAACATAGCTTTTTTTTTTTTTTTTTTTTTGAGGAATTTCTGGTAATCCATTTTCCAGCAACCTTTGGTCTCTCGTGATTGATGTGATGATAATCCTTAATAGATTGAACACCTTCCTGTGGTGGTTGTGGTGTTGTCCATACTTCCTGACTTGCARGCTGGCTTTGCTGGCAAGTACCTGCCATTTTGGCTATAGTTTCTTAAGCTGACGTTGTCATTTGTAGGTCACTCGGACAGGAATTGCCACTTCTCTAAAACTAACTGAGTTATGAGAGATAGCTCATCATATGGCATATGCCTGTGTTCATTTTGGGGTAGATCTAATTATTTATGAAATAAGATTGATTTTTAAAATTTTTCTCTTGCTCAGAATAAATAGTGGTGCCTGTTCTGCATGAGAAAGCCTGATACTTCTTCACAAACTATTAGTCACAGGTTAATCTTAAAACTCAACACTGTTGCTATTTCATGCATATGAAGTTTGATTTTAGGGTTGTTACTAGCTTTTCATAGATCACTGCATGAAGCATCAGTTATGCATTAGGCATAAAGGCTTCATGTTTTCCTTTCAAAATGGCTGCAGGATGTGAAAAATAATAGAAGTCCCATTTGATTTAGAGATTAATGGGGGTGATCTCATGGCATATGAGTTTTATATATCTGTCTTTACGGAAATAATCAGAGCGTTTTAGCAGGGGTTTTTTCCTCTTTTCAGTAACTTACTTTCTGTGAGTTAAGGACTGTCACCAGCAGCATTCTAAATTAACCGTGTTGGTTTTACTCAGTAGTATTTTGATGGACTTTGATCTTTTGCCAATAAACTGACTTTAAAAGTCAGTTTCTTTCTCTGTCTCCCTTTCCTCTTCACTTAGTGTTCCACRACAACTGCACAGTATACATAGAAGTGTTGATTTTGCTCATTTGGTTTGTTTTTAATAAAAGGCATCTGAACTGACTAGCTGCTTCAGTGTTCGTTCAGCATCAGCTTCAGCCTTCACCTTGGTTTCTTAATACACTGTACCAGTCTGTAAAGCATAAAACTTTGGTTCGGTTGTACATAATGACTGAAAGAAATTACTGAATTTTCTTATGTCTAGACTAACAGCTAAGTCTGATTTAAGATGAGTAATTGGATGTGTGCCGTAGTGATGACACTATCTTTTAAATTTTGGTGTAGCTTATATACAGGGTTTCTACACTGTCTTCTGTGCATTTTTACATACTCAGAAAAGAAGACATCTTCTTTGTATAGAAGTATCTTCTTCATTGTAATATTAAATATGGCTCCTTGTTCTATTTGTTTCGAGTCCCACCTTTTTCTAAATTTCTTTTACGGCTTTCATGTAGGCAAGATGGGTGGAAGTGTCTAGTGTAAGTCTGGATCTTTCCCTGAGAACTAAATTTCAATTAAAAATCAGTCCTGTAAAAGCCAGAGAAACTAATGTTTTTAAAAATAGCACACATTAGAAGGGATTGTAATAGCTCTTTGTGGGTTTGGAGGTGTGTAGCTGCCATCTTCTTCAAACTGCATTGATCAGCAGTGGGTGGAGGTAGGTAAAATATATCAGAACAGCCTAAAGCAGATATATGATGAGTTATGGCATGATTTTGACACTACAGTTTCAATTGCTTGGTTCCCATACTGTAGGTGGGTGGGCTTTCCACTTAACTCTCCTTTGCAAGTGATGGAGCATGAGGCTCAGTTCTCTTGCCAAGCAGGAGCCAAATGCAGTGGAATCAAGCAGTATGATCTGTGTTGGGCTTCACTGCTCCCTCAAAACACTTGCTAAACTTTCCAAAGTTCAAAGGAGTAGAGGTTTGGACTTTAGCCTCTTATGTGTCAATGAATCTGCTCAGAATAACTGAAATGTTGTTTTTTGAGTCTGGAAGACAGTTGAATATAGAAATGACATTTATTTGAAAAGATAGTAATTTAATTTTAATTTCTGGTTAAAAAAACCATATTTCAGGACAAAATACGTGATCATTATGTATTATTGTTTACTTCTGTTAAGTTGGTTATTGCTTTTTATTTATTCTTTCAGTTGCATTGCAGTATTTTTTTTACCAACCTGAGCCATACTTAATAACTGTTGCTGATTTTCACTGGTGTGAAAATCAGTGAAGTTTCGTGGAAATATTGTTTTACTTCAGTAAATAATGTCCTAAAAGAAAACCAGTAACTTTGTCACGTAATCGTTAGCTTAGGTGACACTGCCATTATTCTAGGGTGGCAATGAATCACGATAGCAAATGAGAGAGAAATGCTATATTGAACAATTTTTAAAACCTTGCTTTTTACTTTTTTTCATGTTTCATTCCTTCCTTCAGTGTAAAAGGTGCTTCTGCTGTTGTTTTGTAGCTTTTGGCAGTTAGCAGTGAAGTGGAGTTCCTGCTCCTTTCCACCTAGCTTGTAATTGCCCTCAGGCTTCTGGTGAATTTCAAATCTTCTGCAACTCAAATTGTTCTAATTAAGTAGTTTTAAATTAATCTTGCTTGAAATAAGAGATCCTAAGGTCTATCTGTACTAGAGCTCAACAAGCTTTGGTTAACAAGCAATATTCTGGTATGTGTTTTGCATAAGTCAAGATATGAAATAGATCCCTATATGCTGGTTATCATTAATGATTTAAACTAAAAGAGAATGCCCTTCAGAGTTTGGTTGTATTCACCATGCAAATTTATTAAAATCTGTGAAACTAGTTAGGATTTTGAAATGCAGAAATTCATGTGTGAGTAGAAATACTTTTCAGACTTTGGACACTTTACATCCAAAATAAACAAAAATCAAGTGGTATACTTTACTGTACTCATGTAATAAATACCCAAATACACTTTGGATTTAAAGCAGTGTATTGGTTTTCATATCCAGYCCAGTGAGAGTACCTGAGTAGAGCATAGAAAAAGTTAATAACTTTTTGATTCTCAATGTCATACAGCTATAGTCTGATTATGAGTGGCTTATTTAGTCAAAAAACAAACCAACAAATTTTCAGTGACAAAGAGAGGTGCTTATTAATATATTTGTCAAGTCTTTCAATCAGCAGTGTTTCTACTCTAAAATTTCTATGTAGGAAATTCTGGTGGGCTTTGAGTAATGAACTCACAAGTATAGATACAAATAAAGATATTGCTCCATGATTTTGATGGGTTTTATTTTAGTTCTAACTAAAGACATCTTCTGGATTGGTGTACCCTACAAAGACTCTACTATAAGTGTTAGATCTGCTTTCATTTAGTTTTTACTCTTATGAATAGAAATTTTCTTTACACTGCACTGTTGACCTTGATTTGCAAAGAAAAATATGGCTTAGTTGTGTTGATTTGTAAGGAAGGAGATTCTGGTGTGGTGATGATCCATGCTTAAATTGTCTAGTTTTACTTATATGTGAAATGTCTTGTGTCTTTCTATTACTGTTACAAAGTAAATTACATATAATCAAAGCCTGTTTATTGTCATTCACTGCAGTTTGTTTTCCTTCTCATAATAGCAAATGTCAATTATAAATTTTCCTGTCTAGGGAATACAATGGAATTCTTTAAAAATTTTTGTGAGTTTCCTTTTATAGGGTAAAGCTTAGAATACCAGTTTCCAAAGACATTCTATCAGGTTAGTGTAAAATAAGACTTCAGAAACAGTGTTGCTGTAGGCAGTCTCATCTCATTAAATCTTAGTAAACCAAAAGAAGCTATGTTTAGTTTCTACATGTAAGAATAGTATGAAGAATGCTTTTAGAAATCAGCTTGTGAACTAAATGCCAAATTTCTCTAAGCTGATCTATCTGTTCCTGTAAAGATGCATAAATGTAGCTAAAAATAATATCATTCATATGCTTAGTAGAGGATGATCACTTGCTTTTACTAGTTTAGGGCTGGTTTAAAACAGCAAGTTGAGAAAACCAGAGCAGTCTTTGTGGCTTCAGAGCAACGGGGGTGGAATCTACTATGTGAATGCTTCAGTTTATCTAAACTTTTCCAGAAATGTCAACACTTGAGAGCGAGGGATCTCTATTGCAATCCAAAAATAAATTTTATAAAATTCACTCAAGATTTTGGGGAATTGCAAGCTCCTTGTAAGGTTTTGAAGATTTAATTAATGCTTTTTATATAGTAGATAACAGTTCTTGATATGGAAGCATTGTGCTTTGTAGTTGCTGAATGTATTTTAAGTTACTCTTGTGCATGAGATTCCGGTTTTGTGGTGAGTTGTTCTGAAACTTGTCCAAAGCTTTATATCAGTGCCCTTGAAAGTCAGGTAAGTATGATAACCATAATCAGATTCATAGGTTTATGTTTTAAAACCTGATCCAGAGTGTTACATTTGTCCTAACTAAACCTCCCACCGAATTATCAGCGAAGTTTTTTTCATATACAATGTAGACCCCTAAAGCTGATACATTTCTTAAATGTGTAATTAAAGCAGTTTTAAACAGACTCAGTTTTCTTAAGTAGACATTTGCTTTTGTTTTAGAGCAGTGATGAATATGAAAACATTATTCTCATTCTAATGTGAGAAGATTCAAACTCTTCCAGGAAAATAAATGTGTATATGTGAGAAATTATCTTACAGCAAATGTAAATCTGAATTTTACATTGATCTAAAGTAAAGAATAATAGTTTAAATTTTAAAATTTACATCTTTCTCGTTACAGAAATTCTGTGCAGCATGTTTTCTAGGTGGAACTGGGTGGCCTGTGGCTTCTATCTGGTGTTGAATATTTGCTCTCCTAACGGTAAGAGTTCTGTGTCTCAAATACAAGAGGATGTAGAACTTGTGAAATCAGATGTGCAAAGCTTGCTCTTTTGTCTCGGTACTTGTTGGAGGGGAACAGAAATCAAGGTGTGTTAGGATAGACACAGCTAGCCTCCTAACACTAGTTCACCACAATAAAGGTGCACACTTACCCCTATTTTCCTAACTTTCTTAACAAAAATTGCTTTTTTATCAGAAGAGTAACCTCAAGTATAATAACTTCCTCCTTGAAAAGATAGAAACATGCAACCCTTGACTCTCCACTCTCTCTCTCTCTCTCTCTCTCTCTCTCTCTCTTTCTCTCTTTCTCTAAGTGCCTCTGTTTATTAATAGAGCTTTCCTAGCTTGGTAAAGTGCTTTTGCGAAGCCTAAAGAGTGCTGCACTTTAAAGGTTTTTCCCCTTAAATCTTCTTGGTGGTCTACTAATGCATTTCAGTTTTATAATTGTCAAATACCTATTTAACTTGCTGCTTAGACTTGTGGAGTGTTATTAACATTGCAGTAGTGATGTAGCAGCAATATTGATTAGAGAATGCTCAGTAGTTTTTAATAAATATGAAATTCTTTGTCTTTTTAGCTTCAAGTGGACTTGTGCAGTCATGTGGTCACATCATCCCGGAATCTCCTGTGCTGCCCCTTGGTTCCAATTTCACAGCATTATGCATTCTGAATGAGAGTTGTCTTGACTTTGGCAATATCTATGCCAGTCAGATTATCTGGAAAATTAAAAATAGAGTGGTACCTAAAGAACAGTATCGTGAAGTAAACAAAACAGTTTCGAGTGTCACATTTAATGACACTTCTTCACTAGCTACACCTTTGACATGCAACATTGTAGCAGATGGACAGATTGAACAGAACATTTATGGAATTACAGTTACAGTAGGCTGTGAGTACCATTTTTTTACATTTTATTCTGGTCTTAAGAAAATCACTTCTAAGAAACGGGAAAATGCAAACAATAGGACAGTGCATATCTTGAGGCACTTGTTTTCATTCCCTCGGTTCCTGGGTAATAGAGTAAAAATATTGTCAAATTACATGCCATTAAAGCTGCTAACTGCCCTGAATAAAGTTTTCTAAAAAGTAGAAAATACTTTAGAGTATTTCAGTGTTGAAATAGGAAAAACAGAACAACAAAAATATTGAAGAGGCAGATTTGGATTACAGAATAAAGATGTGGATTCAACTGAAATAGATACTATGAAATTAACATTTCTTGCTTCTGTTTCAGATTTGGAGGAAATWGTTTTAGATCATATCTCCTGATTTGATACTTGCATTTTGAAAATAATGTTCCTTCATTAATGGACTGAGAAATATTTAGTCCATCTGTATCATTAAAGCTAACCTGAATTGCCTTAAGGATGGAACATATTATTTGGATTATTTTATACCTCAGAAAATACTTTTAACTGTTTATAAACTTCCTTTGTTCTAGGATGATAGCACATGGTTCAGAGCAAGTGCTCTTTTAGGCAAGACTGTCTTGAGAAAGTCACATGAATAACTTTATTACTTGGTGTCCTGCTTATAGGACAAATGTTAAGTGTCCTAAATATCTCATGGTATGGCTGATGAATTGTGTTGTCTCCTAGTGATGGCAAAAGGTACTGCAGTTGCTGGGTGGTGTGCATGCAAAAAGCCAGCTTGAATTCACCATTTAAAATTAGATGCTTCTAGCATGACTTATAAAGTCCTTCCACAGGAAAATAAGATTCTTTAAGTACATTTATACTCTTGAATAATGAGGAGGTAGAAACAGACTCTTTATATGCTATGATTGGAATTTAAGAGGGAAAGAAAATTTGCTGCATTCTGAAGAAGTTCCTTATGCACTACAGTGCATTGATGGAGACCCCAAATATTTCTTGTATGAGTTTGCAGCTCAAGCTTTTTCCATACCTCAGCTGCGGGAGAACAGACCTATCAAATTGCTTTTAGAGCTCAAGTTACTGGCAGAGTCACCATATGCCAATTTAGTAGTGGTTATTAATCTATTTTTCTTCTGTGTGAATTAAAATATATTTAGATGAGTGATGGTTAATATGAGGTTTTCTGCGTCAGAATGAGAAATCTTTGTTGTTCCTTACTAGCAGGTTCTTATTCCTTATACAGCCTACTGTTTGCCAAAGCAGCTGTTTAAGCTTCTTGACTTTGATTGCAGGACAGTATCCAGCACTTTTTGYCACATCCTTTAGAAAAAAATGGGATTAAATACTTCGGATGGTAACAGAAACGAAGTGTCCCCCTCTAGTAGGACACTTAAAATTAATCTTGCTGGATTGAAAAATAGATTAATTATTACTAACTCTTTCTTTACAGTGCCCCCAGAGAAGCCCAAGAACTTAAGTTGCATTGTGCATCAGGTGTCAAAACTCACATACCATATGACTTGTACCTGGGACCCTGGAAGGCATACATACCTGGATACTCAGTTCAGGTTGAGATACAGCTGGTAAGTAACGCTCTATAGAATCTCTAAATAATTGTGAAAAATATTTTTGTGCTAAACCAACGTTCCTTGAAATTCCTGATACTTTGGAMGGGTTCTTAACATAAGTCCAGTTTTCTGAAGCATTGCTGTCTGTCTGATTTGAGGGGGAAGGAAAGAGTTGGCATTCCAATTAATTCTAATTGAAATTTTGTTGCTGAACTTATTTTGGAGTAGCGTTAATCTCATACTTTTCTATTCTTCAAATATATGATTAATGTGGATTGAGTACAGTACATCTAATAAGAGGAGGCTGTAGCCAAATTTTTACACTTTTCTGAGTTGACAGTGCTCCCCCATTCTAAACTAGTGGAATATCATTGCAGAGGATCAGACTAGATGACTTTTAAAGCTGCAGTCCATTCTAGGATTCTGAGTAGAGAAACCAACATAAAATGACTGCATTTGTAGAGGTATTATCTACTCTGCACTTCATAGGAATTGTGGACAATCACTATTTTGAGTTAATCCTAACGTGAAAGCTTCAGCAAAGTATTTCTCCTATGAAAGCAAATTCAGGTACTTCCCAAACTCTTTAGATGGTCTGTGTAGTTTAAAATGAACAGGATTGCTTCTCTGTTCTGGAGCTAAGAATGATTGCCTACAGTTTTCAATTTACCCCATTCTGCTGAAGTATTTTACCAGTAGGTGTAGTAAAAAGTATGCACTGATAAAAAATGTAAATGCTTTGCAAATTTCCCGATGCCCCTAGAACTACGTGGTGTTAGTGTAGCAGAAGATGGTAAACAGAAATTATGTATTGCACCTCTAACACTGTACTCTTGAAAGATATGGGAATAGCACTGACTACTTTTCTAATGCATTCTGTTTACTGGCCATGTTACTTTTGATTAATTGTATCAACTCTTGATCTTTTCTTTTTTAAGCCAAGTCAGGTTTTTTATATAAATTTAATTACAGTGCTCCAGTTTGCGCTTTTGAAGATATGTGACTAGAAGTCAAAGGATTTTGATTCTGTTTCAGTTCTAATGCTTATGACTGAGCAAGTCATTCCCACTTTTTCTTCCCCTCCCTCTGCTTACAGAATTAAGGCTTAGGGGAAACATACAAGAGAAGATGATTGATCACTCTGATCTACCTTAAAATATTCTCTAAAAGAAACCAAACTTATTGCTTTGTCTTTTTTCCTTCTCTTTTATTTAGGCCAGAAGATATCTTTCCTGACTGTATACCAAAAGATGTAAACAATTCTTGTACAGTTCATGAYGTTCACTTCTTTGTTAATACGGAGATCTGGGTAGAAGCAGCAAATGCACTTGGGAAGGCTGAATCTGATCCTCTTGTTCTTGATCCCGTTGACATTGGTAACTATATGCCCCTTAAAGCTTCAATAGAATAATACTGCTGGATTTTTGCATATTGCTGAATTGGTATGTTAATGTTTCTTCACTATAATAAGGAATACAGCATAAGTGTTGTTGACTAGAATTTGAACTGTGCTAGGCAGAGGTAGGGATGGTGAGAGATTCCATCACAATTCAGATAGCAAGTTTGTGTTGAGTAGTCTGCTTTTAGAAAATGACGTGTAGTAGCAGCTATTTCAGGTCCTGAAAGGCTCTTACAGTAGTGCTGCAACATAGTGTTGCCAGCTTCTAAAGGCATGGTAAARTACAGCTGTGGAGCTGACTCTAACTTCTTCTCTTCTAGTTAAACCACTGCCTCCGCAGAATGTATCAGTCATGTCCACAGTACTTCCTACAGTTCTGGCRCTTTCCTGGGAGAATTGGATTCCATACACTGTGATAAAGCTGAAATTCAATATTCGCTATAGGATCGTTGGTGACACAAACTGGATGGAGGTAATACCACTAATGTCCCTTGCCATGATTCTGCTGTAACCCAGCTATTTGTCAAACTACACTTCCCTATCTTGTAGTTCAGAGTATTCACTTTTATTTCCTTCTCTTCTGTCTTAAACTACCTTGGGTGACCATGTATTTTGCCTGTCCATGAAGGCTCTGATTTTTCAGCGTAGTCTGAGTACGGTGACATTTTCATATCAGTGTGGACTTTTTGCTGTCCTCGCTGTCACAGTGCAATATGTTTATTTTGAATTTTATTCTGCATGTGCAGTATATAAAGCATTGATGAGTTTTCATCTTCTTATGCTTGTGCACAGTGAGTGATCTAAATCTCATTTAAAGCTTGGGTAAATACTGTACCATGCTGGGAACTTTTTAGAACTTACTATACCTGCAGTTGGGCTACAACAGCCCCAGGCAGTCCAACAGGCTGGGGCAGAATGGCTGGAAAGCTGCCCAGTGGAAAAGAGCCTGCGGGTGCTGTGGACAGCAGCTGAACATGAGCCAGGGTGTGCCCAGGTGGCCAAGAAGGCCAATGGCATCCTGGCCTGGATCAGCAATGGTAGGGCCAGCAGGCCTGTTTTTGTCACTGGTGAAAGCCACACCCTGAATCCTGGTTTTGGGCTCCATGCTCCATGAAAGACATTGAGGGGCTGGAGTTAGTCCTGAGAAGGGCAGTGAAGCTGGAGAAGGGTCTGGAGCACAGCTGTTACAAGCGTCTGAGGAAGCTGGGGAGTTCAGTCTGGAGGAAAGAAGGCAGAGAAGTGACTATTACCACTCTACAACTACCTGGAAAGGATTTGTATCAAAGTCAGTCTGTTCTTCCAAGTGACAAGTTTTAGGATGAGCAGAAATGGCCTCGAACTGTACCAGGAATGGTTTACATTGGATGTGAGGAAAAATTTCTTCATGGAAATAATTTTTCAAGGTTTGGCCTGGGGAAGTGGAAGAGTTACCATGCCTATAAGTGTTAAGAAAAGATCTAGATGTGGCACTCAGGGACATGATTCAGTGGTGGATTTAGCAGTGGTAGGTCTATTGGACTCAATTGTCTCTTCCAACCTGAATGAATGTGTAATTCTGTACAATCTGGCTGCCGGTGTATATGCCTTAAGTGTGATGCAGTCAAGGAACAGGAAAAGGGTAAGGAGTAATCTTTACCTGTAATGTACTATGATAAGTTCCTGTCATCAAAAGTTGTGGGGGTTTCTTTCTTTTGCATCAGTTGTGGACRTATTTTTAATAACTCCTTGGGTTTTCCTTACTTTAAGCCTTCTTTCAGAGCAGCAGTACTCCAGTACGCCAAAAGAAGCCCAAAAGTATTCTGAACTCTCTGAGTTCTTGGAAGGAAGACTGCTTCTGATTTTACCAAAATACTGATTTGGGGCAGGTAGCGTAACATAGCTCCTTGTGACTAATGTCGCTTTAGATGCAGAAACTGCTTATTAAGGTCACCTGTACTGGTATTTCAAAAAGCACTGGCCTGCAAAATCTGGTCTGCAAGTGCAGGGTCTGTGGATATGTTGTCCTGATGGGACAACTTCTTCTRACTTGTCTTGCCCTTCTAACATATGCGCAAGACCATTGAAATAGTAATTTTAAATCAGCTGAACTTGCTTAACTATGGTAAAATTGGACTATTGTGGTAATTCTTTGCCCTCAAGGCTAACTTCCTAAGGGTGCTGCATTAGTGTTTAATACACACTCATTCCCCTTGCAGGGTTCCTCACTGTAACAAACCCTTAGTTGCAAGTGGAATAGTGCAAAGAATCTGTGTGTATACCCACTTGTGTCTATTACCTGCTCCATGCTTTCTTCCCTACATATGCACTAAGAATACTTTTCTGACATTCAGTTGCTCACCTAAGTTAAGTGAAAGAGCTTATGAAAATAATTTATTAGCAAAACTACTCTAAAACTATTTCCAGTTTCACTAAAAAAACACTGTTCTGAATCAGTGGAAGAAATGATCCTGGACTTTTAACTTCTAGTAGCCAATAATTCTGCAATCAGTAATCGAGCAGGTAACCTAGCAAAATTCTGAAGGATATTACAGTTCTGAGGCAGGATATTCTAATCAGTAAGTAGCAGAATTATATGGGAAGAGAAAGATGTAAGCTAATTTTTTCTTGAAAAAGAGAAAGATTGTCCTGAGGTATCTGCCTAAGTTCTAATGTATGTATTTTCTTACACCTGGTAAAGACACACAATTCTGACAACCTTTACCAGACGATGTTTGAGAATTGAAATTTTCAGAAATGTGTAGGAAGGAAAACCTTTCAGTATTAGGTGTGTATGTAGTRGGGAACCCTCTTGGATGACAATTGAAGTAGCACAAAATTCAGCTTTACATTTTTTGATCAGCTTTTAAAAATCTTTGTCACATTTGCAGGTTCCTTCTGAAGACACAGCTTCCCAGAGAACTTCATTCAGTGTTCAGGGGCTCAGACCCTACACAGAGTATGTCTTTTCCATTCGTTGCATGAAGGAAGATGGAGTGGGCTACTGGAGTGACTGGAGTGAAGAAAAGACTGGGATAACCACTGAAGATAGTAAGTAATATACAAAAATAGGTCACTGACTTCTTAAGTGTGTGAGTGCTCAGCAGTTTGACAATGGCCAGCTGAAATGGTGTCTACTTGCTTGAGCTGCCTGCTTGTATAAACAGCAAAGCTCTTCTGAGTTACTTTCAGCACTGACTTGACCCATGCATGCCAAGGAGCATAAGAATAGCTTCCTATTAAGCTAGTCTAGAGGTGCTCCCTGAAAACAGCTAGAACAGGCAGCAGGGAAGAAGAGCAGTCTTCACAGAAACTCTATTCTTAGTCTTCTGGAAGAGATGTAGGCTTTGTGCTTCATTTTGTATTCTGAAGATTGTTCTCTGTAACAGAAGTTGTTCTGCTGTTAGAAAGGATTTTCTTGGTAGACCAGCTGCCTTAGTTGATTAACAGCTTSATGTTTAGGAGACCAGTAACAGTCATAGGTGAACAATCATCAACAATTATGAACAGAAGATTTTAGTCATGTAGGATACATAGACTTCTTCACAAACTTAGTTACATAATGATATAAAATAATGTGGATGTGATAAGCATAGCTTCTTATGCACTAAAGCATCTAAATAACACATTCTGGTTTACTTTCAASTTTTTCCAAGGTGTTAATTATCATTTATTTTCCGCTCTGATAGTCTGCAAGGTTGGCATTGTTTCTGGCTTGTGTTGATGCTACCCCATAGGAAGCCAGTGTTGTGTACTTAATACTCATTAGMGAATCCATTCTTACATCCCATTACTACAAATACTTTGTTCTATAGCTGTTTGTGAGCTTCAGTATCAAGCTGATTGGTATTATTCTTTTTCAAATGTGCTTTAGCTTTTTCTGCTTGTACCTTATGGTCTTCTTTGTGTGATATCTTATGTGTTCTGTAGTACTTTCCAATGCATTTCTTTTCTGAGGAGTCTGCTCACAGTAGTGTTTCAGTGCCCATTAAGTTAAACCAATACAGATTCTATTGTTAAAACACATTAGAARTCCTTCCTTTTTTTGCCTGATTTGAGTTAATTTGCCATCTTGGATAGAAAATTGTTACAATTTTTGTTTAAACAGAATGGAATTTGTATGCATAATGGCTTCAATTCTGTAAAAGTTTCCTTTCTCTGGGGGAGGTACTGTAAAAAATACCAATATTCTAGTCTCTGCCTTTCAACTCATAATGATAGCATGGCTTTACTTTCTGTGTTTTCTATCTCAGGCTGAGTAGTGATATTTCAGGGCTGCCTGCCTACTTAGGTTGCATTGATGTTCTGCTGTGGTGACTGGCTTTGCAAAAATATTGCTAATATTAAGTATCCCTGTCTTAACTTTAGCCTCAGAACTATGGTGTTGCAGTGGCAAATTAACACCAGGCAGGTCATGTTAGATTCATGATCTATATTAGGCAAGATGTACAATTGCTTGTTTTTCATTTGAATCAAACTGAGGTACTCAGCTATGTGAAAGAGCTCCCTTTGCCTCAATTCCTGGTTCTCCTTCTCTCACAATGTAAAGCATAAAAGACAAGATGCACACTATGTACTTGGTACTGAGGGGTGTTTGAGCTTAAAAGGTAAAACCTCATAATAATTTGTACCCTAAATGCTCTGGAAGAGCTCTTAAGAAAARGTAATCTTACCAGATTAAAGATATAATTTATATTGAGATCGACTTGCTCTTGGGACTAAGACCTTCACAAAAGGTTGGCCACTTTTTATTGCTTTGTGCAGTGTAATGTTGGCTGGTTCCTTTTACTTCGAAATATTGTAGGGTTGGTTTATTTTACTTTGGAATGGGATTTGTTGTGCAAATGCTACTCTTTCATAGTACAGATGCCARAATGTACAATAGTATTGTACAGAAGTACTGCAGTTCTGTTACCCTTTTAGAATCAAGAAGTCTTACTGCCTGGAGAAATTYGTCTCCTTGTTAACTCTTGTGCACTTTCCTTTTCTCAGGTGACTTGATATCGAGGGCTAGGAGCAGTGTGGTAGATACAGATGGTAGCAGGATTTGCAGGGTGAAGAGCTGTGCCTCTGGATGGAGGCTGCACACTGTAGGTGTGACCGTGCCTCACTCAGCATTCTTACCTTCAGTCTAACCTTGCAGGTGCCCACCATTGTGACTCACACTTCTTTTTATACTGTACATTCATAGCAGAACTGTATCTTGCTCATCCTTTCAGGAAGCTTTTCCACTTAATATGACAAGCATTCTTTGCATTGAGAAAGAAAGGAATTGCTTTTTAAAATGCTTTTTTGTTTAAAGAAAGTAAGCATATAATGATAGTCAACAGATTAATTCAAACAGATTAAACAAAAATATTTCTACTTAAGCATTGTTTCTTTCATTAGTACCTTCTAAAGGACCACCCATATGGAGGATCATTGATGCATCTCACTCACCAGCTTCCTGGATTGTGCATCTGTTGTGGAAGGTAAAGCAGATAGCAAAAACTGAGTATTCTTTTAAGAGCATGAATTTTTAAGTGGAAAAATCTACCCAACAACCTTGAGAGATGGCTGGGATAGTATAGGTTTTTTTGATGAGAAGTGATTTTAGTATTCTCATCTTAATAATTAGTTGTGAAAAATTAAATGTACAGAAATAGAGGCCATCATTTAACTGACATGCATCTGTGACCTAAAATATACTTTCAGATTCCTGGTTTGTTGTCCTTCTGTAGGTTTAGAACTGCCACTTGAACAAAGCATAGCCTCATGTCATGCCTTCTGCTGTAACCTAAAACTTGGACTTGAATACCCCAGCTGCAAAATCCATTAATCCCTGAGRTACTGCAGAGGCCAAGGTTGTTAAAAACAGCACTGCACATTTGTGTGCAGTAAGGCTGGTGTGTCCAATTGGATCATTAGTCCCTGAGAAGGGGAATGTAATTATGGTCACTCCCCATCCCCTGCTTTCCTTTGGTCCATAAACTGTGTCATATTTGTCAGCTTACAAAACCAAAGATGTGAGATTCTTTTTATGTCACTGTGTTATAGAGTCACATAAAATAGAGGTTTTACCATCACATGTTTGGCAATTCTTACGGAATAGCTTTTGTGGAATCACTAGATATGATCAAAGAAAGAGTATTCAAACCACGAATAAGCTTAGGAAGTTACTGCTTTATAGAAATGAGCACAAGTTATTTATGCTTTTCTTAAGTATACAGGTGTARCTTGTCTTGTTCTCATATTTTTTAATTGTCTCAAAGACAGTAAGGGTTATGTCACATTTGTTCAGTATCAGTTTAACCAAAGATGTGTTTCTGACAGGCACTGAAGCCATTTGAAGCCAATGGAATAATATTGCAGTATGAAGTGACTGTCAGAGATAAGTCATCACTTTCCAGTTCCCTGAAGAAATACAATGTTACCAGCACCAACCATACATTACAGCTGCCCAATGGAACTTACGAAGTTACTGTGATTGCCCGTAACAGCGCTGGGGCATCTCCTCCATCAGCTTTGCTTATCCCAGCAAGTAATTCAAAAGGTTGGTGTCCTAGTAATGTCTCCATCAAATAAATCTGCATGGCCTTTTTTATAAGGAATCTTCAATGCTGTAAAATAATACCTTCTACATGGGTACATAATTAATGTATTACAGAATGTATCTACAGTGTCATGCCTTTATAACTATACTATCATTTGAATACCAGGGAACATATAGATTTTTGTATTCACAGTGTTACTTGAACCTATGTGTGTGGTTTTGCGATTTTTGATTCTTAGAGCTTCTGTGTATTATATTGTTTCTTAGCAGACATTTTTGTGTCTTTCAGAAGGTTGGTTTATACTTACGTATATACTATTTTCCCATTGTTCCTCCTTCAATTTCGTGATCTCTCTCCCACCCCTTTCTTTCTGGTCCCAGTCTTGGTCTACCATATTTTCAGTATCTTACCTGGTTTTGTCATCCGCTTCCACTATTTCCTTATTGTTCATGTTCATTTTTTATTATGTTCTTTTCATTATGCAGTAGTACAGGCTTGTTTATCCTTACTTCCAGCCTTTTCTTAGACAGTTCAAACACTACCAGGACAGGAAACAAAAATATAAGTACATGCACAGATACAAGTACATACCCGGGGAGAGCCACTGGTTCTAAATTAGAGGAATTAGTTACAGGTATAATCCAAAGTAGCATTACAGCCAGCAGGAATTACTTAGTAAGGTATACATATATAGTACGTAAGTATATAATATGTATTAAGAGAATACGCTGAGTTGGAAGGGGCACACAAGTATCTCCAAGTCCAGCTGGTGGCCCTGCACAGGTCACCCCAAGAGTCACACCATATGTCTGAGAATCTTGTCCAAATACTTCTTGACCTCTGGTAAACTTGGTGCTGTGACCACAGGGGAGCCTGTTCAGTGCCCAGCCACCCTCTGGGTGAAGAACCTTTCTCTAATATCCAACCTAAATATCCCCAGACACAATTCAAGGCTGTTCCCTCGGGACCTGTCACTGCTCACCATAGAGAGATCAGTGTCTGTCCCTCCTCTTCCCCTCACAAKGAAGTTGTCCCTGCACTGAGGGCTCCCYTCAGTCTCCTCTTCTCCAGGCTGAACACACCAAGTRCCCTCAGCTGCTCCTCACACGGCTTCCCCTCAAGGCCCTTCACCATCTTTGTTCCTYTCCTTTGGACTCTCTCTAGTAGTTTAATGTCTTTCTTATRYTGTGGCACCCAAAACTRTCCCCAGCACTGGAGGTGAGGCCTCCCCAGCCCAGAGCAGAGCGGGACAATCCCCTSCCGTGCCCGGCTGCCGATGCTGTGCCTGGTGCCCCCAGGACAGGGTGGACCCTCCTGGCTGCCAGGGCACTGCTGCCCCATGTTCAGCCATGGACCAGGATCCCCAG